TACATTACAGTGGGTCAAAATACCCTCCTCCTTTTTCCTTCCTCAGTTTAGAAAGCAGCAGTTGGAGACAGCGGGAATAATGAAACTCATTTAGGACCAAGAATTGCAAGATATGACCGGATTTTCCACAATACTGCACCACAATCAAACCACCGATTTCACAAATCCGAATTGCCGCCCTTAACAAAAAAAAAGTGTTGATGAACATACCGAACTGATTCAAATTAGGTGTTGGATTGAAAGACGCATTGGCAGATGACAGTTCTCCTCCTCCTCCTCCTCCTCCTCCTCTAATGCCGCTGCTGCTGCTGCTGCTTTCGTTGGCCAACATACGACAGAGTTGTGTAACCAGGTTATCTGCTTCAGCAATTCCACCCGAAACGCCCATTTCGGTGTATAAACGATTGACTGTCGAATTATCCACACGTCCGCTACGCTGAATTTCTTCCTGCATCGCAACAAGAACACCCAATAATTTTCGCATATCTTCCTTCGGATCACGTGGACGAGATTCCACATGCTGCATCTGCAGTGAGGATTTTTGTGTCAATAAATGGCAAGCAATTCTCGAAAAAGGCAGCCACTGACAGCCGTACTAAAAAGTTTTGCTGATGGGATCTGTGTTAGCTTCGAAATATTTTCGTGTTTCCGCCTCTCATAGAAAGTGAACACAGAGGGAATTTTGATTTGTATCTTATATGGGAGATACAGATGAGGGCTTTTCACTGCGGATCCTGGTGTCTAAGTCACCCAGGCCCGCTCCAATGCAAACTCTTGAAATGACTAAGCCGACTGTAACAACCAGTTTGACCCTGGAAATTTAAACAGCGAAAAGGCGATAGATTACAGCATGAAGGAATAGTATGAAAAAAGGTAAGAGTGAGATAAGACGCTTCGATCCATTAAGTCATATACTTCTTAACTTGTTTTACATCCCCTACCGGTGAAGGCCGTTAGTGGTGAGCACTGACGACTCGCTACTGGGTGAGTTTAAGCAAAACCACAAACGGCTTATGAAATGCGGTACACCCAGCATTTATCTCCAAAACCACCAGGAATGAAGAGAGAAGCCAAAGTAATCAGTCAGTTGATGATATGATGATAAACTTTTGTGATTCTAGTGTAAAAGATTGACGTTTGTGTTGATCGGTATGGAGACCGGATGCAACGATTGGCAAACCAAGCTTCAAATCCTACTCTGAACTTTTCATCCGAAATTTCAGAAAAATCGCTTTACATAGCTAAAAGCAAAACGAAATCTACTAACTTACCCGCGCCCGTTTCGCCAAAATCTCGTCGACAACATCATCTGCTGGAAATTTCCTTTTTTCAGATTCTTTGCCCCCGGATTCATCAAATGTGGGTGCAGGCAACCCCTCCCAAACTTTCATACCAATTCTTCCAGCTTTCATCTCACTTTCCAGACGTTCGTCCAATGACGGTTTTACCGCAAGTTCGGTTCTTTCGTTGCCACTTCTGTCTCTATCAATAAGTGAGGCTTTAGGTGATCGACTTCTGCTTCTGAAAAAATTGAAGTATTTTTGAATACTGTAATAACACCCCTTGAATAATTAGTAATCAATCGTGAAGAGTACAGCTGAGACTGCGAGATTAGCTCTTCCCTTTCAACTTCTTGTTCTCACTTCTCTATCTTGGACTTTAGCTTTCTCCTTCATTACTTACCTTGCCATCCTACTAAGATCTCACCTTTTACTACTGTTTTCCTAAAGCAAGCAAAGT